CAAAATTAAGTAAATAAATCAATTTTTTTTTTTTTTTTTTTTTCTAATTGTCCTTTCGGGCTTGGGCTCGAAGCCCAATATTCGTCCATCTAAGCCCACTAGATTGGACTATAATAGGGAGAGAGAGAGCACTCTCGCTACCCTCTTTATATTATCGAAATAAAAACCTTTTTTTTTTTTTCTTCAAGTACGCGAGAGAATCGGAGTAACAAAATTTACGGCCAAATTAATACAAATACTCGGATATTTTATCTTTAAAATATTTCTAACCTTTTTGTTTTTATCAGACTCCTAAAATTAAATAAAAAAATAAAAAAAATATCATTATATTAATACTTTCTTTCAAAAAAAAAAAAACTTTCAAAATTATTTCATGTCTTTTAATTTTAATTGTTTCAAAAATGTCTTTTGATTGGTAGAGCGTTTAAAAAATATTTTTTTTATTTATTTCATTAATGACTTTAATTTTTTTTAACTTAAAAAATATTTTTAAACTTTTATAAAAATAAAAAATTAATCTTACCTTCCCATCTCAAAAACACTTATAAATTTTCAAAAATAACAAGTAAACTATAATTTTAAATTTATATTTTCTTATATTAATTATGTGATACATTTTGAAACGGTATGAAACTCAGACGAAGTATTCATACTATTTAGTTCTTAATATTTAAAAATAGTTTAAAATTATCTTAAAGTGTGAGGTGGCTACCCATTAATGAAAATATAAAAAGAATAATAGGAGAGTTGAGAATATAGTGAAATGCTACTTAATTTAAAAAATAAACCTATATTTTTACCACTAGAAATGTGTGTTTCAATTTATTTTTACCAACGTGGATATAGTTCACTCTCGACAAATTTGATCAAACATGGTAAAAAAAACACTTTGATTTGAAGCAAACATACTCTGTTTATGTACGATTATTTCATTTATTAAACATAAACCATCACTTTAGCTTTAATAATTATAATAATGGTGTGTTACTAGGTACACGTGGACCCCAACGACCTTCTATTTTAAATATATGGTTGAAGTTATTCAGATTGCCACCTAATATTGAAAAAGTGGTGCATTTTTAATATAAGGTCAATGGATGGGATTGTCACCAAACTGCTAGAAAGAAACGTTTTCAATTTTAATTAATATTGCAAAAGTTAATTCCACCGATCAGCAGGATGGTAAGGGTTGATATGTTAATAATTCTTTCAATAGGGTGACTTAACCCAACAATAGGCTAAGGAATAAGTATCAATTTTTGTAATTATACGGACCAAGCATACAACTCTAATGATAGAACGGGTCGACCAACCAACAGACTGCAGTAATTGAGTCGATCACAATCGTCTACCATGCATTACAGATTAATCACACAATCAAGATTATAAGTACAACATTTTAATTATGTTGTATAGTTTAAAATATTGTTTTAATTTCTTTTTTTTTTTTTCATGTTAAAAATAATTTGATTTAGTTTATTTTCCACATTTACTCGAGAATTATTTATTTTGGTGTATTACTTTCCACCGTTTATTTTTGTAATTTCTCACATTTTCCATCTCCCCATATTTTACATCTCCCCGAATCCTCCTATAAAAATGGCTGCAACTTTCATTTATCTTATCGCTCCATCTGAAACATCGAATGAAGCGAAGAAGAATCCTCTGAAGCTCAGGAGGGATAGCGCCATCAATGGCGGTTCCGTTTCTGATGAACTGCCGAACCGGTGATTCCTCCGCTGCGGCGCTATCCATCCTGAGTTTCACCGGTTCTCCTTGCTCTGCTATCACCGTCTTTACAATGTAGTATACAGAAACAAAGCAATGGCAAGTGTGAGAACCGACGACGAAAGGAGAAGTGAGTATTTTACTATTATTCTGTCTCGGAAGTTGATTTTCATAATAGATGAATCGTTTTCTGAGTGAAATTTTGGAGAATTGGTTTGGGTTATGTTAGGTTCATAGCTTAACAAAGACTGTTTATTATAAAAATTTGCAATTCATCAAACAATTAGGTTAAGTCCAAATATCACAAAATCCAATAACTCTGGCGCGAGGGTTAGGATGATGTCGCTTTCTTGCTTTAAAGTGGGTGAAATGTGAGGCAAAATCTTCGCACCGTATCTTTGCTATTTTGGAACCTTCTGATATTTTCTTCGCAGACAGTAGAAAACCTTATGCCTTTTGCTTCTCTCAAGTCCTTTTCTCAACAAGGCCTCATGATAAATGCAGTCATAATCAGTCGTCGATGGGGCAAAATACTTCGCGTCATTTTTGGCACCAACCTTTTTAATGGAAAAAGAAAGTAAGGAACACTGTTTTCTTGTCGCTGGCCCCGCAACACTTACTGTCAATAGAAAAAGGAGACGGTAGAAAGGAGGTTAAAGAAATACTTTTAAGCTTTGAATATGGGTTAGAGACCAAGGCCAATTAGCCAATTAGCCAATTAATCTGAGAATGCTACCGGTGAATTTGAGCTCGATTAACTTTAAGGGATTGATCAGATAATTGACTGCGACTGATATTTTTTATAAGTAGTTTCATGGTTTGAATTGGTTTTGTTCCCTCAGACCTTGATCAAGAGGAACATTGAGGCCGACAATGCTATTATGATTTTGCAGCTTCATATGATAGGTTTGATCCGGAATTCCGTGGCATTCGGAGCCAGAGATTGCAGCCGAGCAACAGAACTCGTGAGATGATTTATGAAAACAGTCATGTAGGCATTGCTGGCGGTATAATTTGCCCTGCAAATTGAAGTTTTCTGGCGCCGGAAGTCATGGTTAGGGGAGGGACGATCACAAATGAAGAGAAACACATCTCCAATTGAACTATGTAAGCCAACTTAATGCGGTATTTGTCATGGGATTAAATCTTTTCTATTAACAGGAAAAATATGGATGAAAAACTGAAACTCACAATCAGCTTAAAATACATTACAGAAGGGTCGTATTATACTTGTATCTCCATCAATAATAAATATGCACTTAGAATCAATATGAATAAAAGAATAATTCAAATACTAACTGACCAAAAATAAAAGAATACAACTCTTCTCTAATCTCCACTATACTATACCAAATAAAATAACAATACCTCTATGTTCTTCCCATCTTGGCGGTAATCTATAATTTTCTCTCTATATGTAGCTATTCAGTTGCTGGTTGAGTTTTGGCGCTATCCTCACCAGAAGTAGAAGTCTTAATTTCCTCCAGTTGCTGGAGAATTTGCTGAATGTCTGGCCGAGCAGCTGGTGATGGATCGACACAATGCAGGGCTAGTTTTAAGGTGTTCAGCAGTTCATCACCAATATTTGGTGCGTCTTTCATAAGCTCCAGATCAAACACTTCATTTGTCCACTCCTCCTTTACTATTGAGGCCACCCACTGAGGTAAATCCATTCCATCCATGGCTTCTCCAGGAGATTTTCCTGTCAAAAGTTCCAATATTATGACTCCAAGGCTGTAGACATCTGTCTTTGTTGTGGTTTTCTTGGTTTTTGTTAGCTCTGGTGCATTATAGCCCTGTGTTCCTGCAGTGGCAATCACATTTGTGGCTGCAGCTGAAGTCATGAGCTTAGGAAGCCCAAAATCTGCAATCCGAGCATTGGTTTGATCATCCAGCAGAATGTTGCTGGACGTGAGGTACCCATGAATTAGATTCTCCTCTGTGTGGAGGTAGTTCAAGCCTTGCGTGATTCCGATCGCTATTTTCATCCTCATTGGCCAATCGACCATGGTTTCCGGCCCGCGAGCTGCATACAGTAACAAAAGTCAGTATATGAGTTATGAATATACCCCTTAAATAGATCAATAACCTCTTTCTGAAGTCGTAGCAGCCAATGGTTTAGTTTACTTACCATGAAGGAAGGAAGAGAGACTTCCTCTAGGCATGTAATCAAAGACAAGAAGCTTCTCTCCTTTGGGGCCTATGTAGTAAGCTCTAAGAGCAAGTAGATTTGGGTGTCTAATTTTCCCGAGTGCCACAACTTCAGTTTCAAATTCCTTCTGCCCTTTTGTTGTTTTTTCCCTCAATCTTTTCACTGCAACTTCATTACCATCTTCTAATGTTGCTTTATATGCTGTTCCATATGTGCTCTTGCCCATGATCTCCGCAGTCGCACACAGAAGATCATCAGCAGTGAAAACAAATGGCCCATCAAAATGAACTAGTTTTCCTCCGGCTTCACCCGTCCCCACTTCGGTGCTGCCTGGTGCTTCCTTCTCGATGCTTCTCGCTGTCGCTTGCTTGCCAGCCGTTTTGTCATTCTTTCTAGCAGCAGCTCTTTTTGATAACAAACAACACAGCAAAATTGAGCAGAGAAGCAGAAGAAGCACCAACAGAGCTCCAGCGGCTATCAGAATTATGTCCTTCACACTGAGTTTGCGGCGGCGATGCGGTTTCCGGACCTCAGATGATGGAGTTGTACTATTCTGTGGGGAGGATGCAGGTTGACATGGAGTTGAAGCACTAAAACCACACAGTTGAAGGTTCCCTACAAAGGAGCTCGCATTGAACTTATTTGATAAGAGAACCGGGACAGGGCCAGAGAGATTGTTGTAAGAGACGTTGAAAGAGGTCAGATTCAACAAACTGGCCAGCGATGTTGGAATCTGTCCCGTGAAGTTATTTTCTGAGAAATCAAGTTGGGTAATAGCAGAAATGTTCCCCAAACTTGCAGGAATCTCACCACTAAATCGATTCTTCCCAAGCTTGACCACTGAGAGATTCTGCAATCTATCAATATCTCCTGGAATCTGGCTTTCCAGGCGATTATTTTCAACATTCAATAATTCAAGAGAGGATAGATTGGAGAAACTTGAAGGGAAGCCACCATTAATGACGTTGTTCGACAGATCCAAATGGCGAAGTCTCTTCAGCCTGCCTATTCCATCTGGTATAGCCCCAGAGATCTTATTTTCACTGATCGAAATCTCTTGAAGCCATTCCAGTTTACTCAAGGAAGCTGGAATTGCCCCAGATATTGCATTATGATCAAGCGTTATAACCGCAAGTGGGCAAGTTCGACCACCCCAAGAATCTGGGACGGTCCCAGAAATATTGTTGTGCTGAAGGGCGAGAATTGTAAGAGAAAACGACTGCGTAAAGCTACTTGGGATAGATCCCGACAATGAATTGTAACTCAGATTAACTCTAATCAATTTGGTAGAATTTGCTAGACCAGAAGGAATTTCTCCTGTGAGCAAATTGTTGCTCAAATCAAGAGTTTGAAGAAGGGGAAGATTACCAATTGTAGGAGGAATAGAACCTGAGAATCTGTTGTTGAAAAGATAAATTCCTCTGAGATTTGGAAGGAAGCCGAGCGACCGAGGGACTGTGCCAGAGATCACATTGTCGTGGAGGCTGAGCTTTCTAAGTTCCCGGAGCTGCCCAATCCTGTCGGAAATCCGGCCGGCAAGAGCCTTCCATGGAAGCTGTATAGCAATGACCTGCCCCTTCACACACTTGATTCCTGTCCACTGCCCGGAACAAGCTCCAGTACTGCCATTCCAGCTACGCAAAGCTCCTTTTAGGTCGATGAGTTCGTGTTTTATAGCTTGAAGAGCTTGAAAATCTCCTTGTGTAACAGCCACTCCGTCCCACATCTGGCCAGTGACCGGTTGAAGGGAAAAGGCCAAAAGATGAGCAAAAAAGAGAGCAATCAGGTATGAAGAACAGCTTCTCCATTGTTGGCCCTTCCACTTTCTGCTCTTATTAGGTGATTTAGAGCCCCAATCAGCTGTTTTTGCTACAGGAATCTGCATGAACTGAAGTGGGTTTACCTGAAACTCACTCAGAGGGTTGTGGGTTTTTCCCATGAACAAAAAGAAACTTCAGTTTAAGAGGGAAAACAGAATGGCTTTTCGTGTCTCTGGTTATTCTAGGGTTTCTGAAAGTTGGGACGATAAGTTTTATAGGGGAAGAAGAAGAAGAAGAAAAATAAATTAGATTAGCTGAGAGAAAGGAGTTGGTCTGGGTCCGATGAAGCATGTGAGGACCTGAAATGTCGTTGTAATTTAGGGTGGACGAAGGATTTAGCGAAGGCATACGCTGGGGTCAGTCTCTTTATTCTTTTATGCTAACGGCTACATTTTTATTCGGTTATTCAGGCTACGTGACATTTTTTTTTTTTTTTTCCTTTGCTTCTGTAACGCTTTGTCGCTCCTCCAACGGCTATATTTGATTTGGTCAGCATATTAGGTGGATAAATGTATAATGGGAGTTATAACGTACGTCCTCCCACTTGCGCTACATCATTTCTGATCTTTAATAATAATACACAAATTAATGATAAAATAATTGCCTTTTATCTTGAATTTCACATAGAATATTTAACTATATACAGATTTTCAACTTTATAATACAACCCTACACTTAGTAGTATCTAATCTAGTGAGGTCCAATTCATCCCGTAATTTTAACAAATAACTAGTCTTAAAAATAGGTTGGTTCTATTTTTTTCGATCAAATGCATATATTTAAGTGTTCTAGATGGTTCACACAAATAGTAAATTAGATTTGTAAATGCACATAAAATTGACATCTAAGACCTCATTTGATAAAACCCATTTATTTTTCAGATATGCGTTGCAAATGGGGGTGTTCTCAATCCCATAAATCGTGAATTGAATTCAGCCCTCATCAATTAAAACCCTTTAATTAATAAATCCATTAATTTAAATAATTTTTAATTTGAATCGTTTTGCTAACCGTATCAATTTACACCAATTTCCAGCTTTCTTTTTAAGTGAAAAGTAACTCCAAACCCACATCAGGACATTGGATCCAAATATTATATGATTTTCTCAAGAAATCTCAAGCAAATAGTTTATGAATGTCTAGCAGTGCATTTAACTAACTGTTCAATGCACATGCTATGCACTGCACAACAAAAAAATGTAGTTTCTGGGATATACAGAACACGTAGTCGCCGTCCATTCGTTGTTTACATAATATATATTACTCACATATCCTCTTCGGTCTTCGCGTAACAATAAGAAATGAGAAATGACGGGCAAAGTAAGCAACCCCCATATAGAAGAAACAACTTTCAACATGAACGTTGTAAACCTGAAGCATTCAACAATTTGTACCTAAGTTTAGTTGGGTTGACCAATTCAATGCAAAAAGTAACAAGACTTTTGAAGTATGTATCTTCCATTGAGAGGTGTATATACGGTCAAGCGACTATTAACATAAATCCACCCTTGTGATATATCGCCATCCATACCTCACAAATTTACAAACCATATTCGAAGCAAGATTTAAGTTTCTACAATCTATTTTTTGTACAATCCAATCTCAAATTTATCCAATTATGAAGTTTGCGAATTGCGAACTCCACGACACCAAATCTAAACACCTCCTGATAGTATGTAGCAGCTAAACTGGGAGATGACCCACATTGCAGTGCATCATGAACAAACATACATTCCAATCCAACAGAAGATTAAAAAAAAAAAAAAAAAGCTTGCATACAGAACACGGGGGATTTGGGTTCTATGCAAGAACCCCAGATCTACATATCAAGCATACATCACAGACCATTGGTGCGAAAGATGTGCGATAAATTCAAAACTTGTAGAATTGGACAAATAAAAGAATGAAATTCACACTTGTGTTATAACAAAATTCGAGTTATAAGATCCATGGTATAAGAAGGAAGGGAAAAAATTGAATCCACAGACAATCTTACGGAGTATTATATTCTATCTCAAGGTAAAAAAACGGATCGTTAATATGAAATTTTGCACAAAAGAAAAAGAAAAAACCTGCATCTTATTTCGTCTACGCCAATTTTCAAGATTTAATGCATTTACTGATACCGAAGCGAAGGCGGTTCCATCCCCTTGTCTACTTGAATCACGTGCGAGCAGCCACAGGCACGGCGGCAGCGGCAGCGCTGGAAGCCGCGCTGCTAAAGAACGAGAGAAATCCGGGGGATACATTGTCTTGTTCGTCCAGGAAGAGATCTTCGGGAACTCTAAACGCGCCGTGGGCACAAACCAGAGCCACACCGACCAAAAGAGCCGAAACGAGGACCGATCCAACGCTGGTGAGGAACACGACGAACACGCTGAGCAAAACCAGGAGAATTAGGGTTTCACTGTCCTTGAATGTGCGGCCGAATACAACCAGCGGCTGATCCGACGGACGGAAGAGGTAGAGGAATATCCACGAGGATAAAAGCCCGACCAGAAGAATAAGGGAAAACGGATGAGAAACGAGAGAAAAGCCAAGGATCAGAGCAACCACAGCGAGATAATTGACGCGAAAATAGGAGTAATTCTTGCGAATTCGCGAGGTCGCTTCGGATAATGATTCGGGCTTTGAAAATGCCGTCCGATCCGCAAGTTCGGCCCATGGTTTTCGCTGGGAGAGGCCGTGCCGGAGAGATTCCGATATGTGGTTAATGAAGACGCGGAAGGCCGGCGTGGTGACAGGGCCTTGAGATTGGAGAGAACCGCCGGATGCAGCGGAGAGGATGGCGGGGGATTGAGGATTGGAGATGGGAAGTATGGCCGGAGAGGAAGACATTGTCGCGTCGGCGGATCTTGAGGCAATGGAAAATGGGAGTTTTTAACGAAGAATGCTTCTCCTGTAATTAAGTCAATGGGGGGGAAGGAAAAGGGGCGATGAGGAAACTGACGACGACGCAAGACCTCTCCTACCAATAAATAGTGGAGAAAAACGCGGCTGAGCGAATGTTTATTCCGTAAGGACGACCCTTCTCTGTGATATCTCTCTGCTTCTCATCGTGATCGTCCATTCAACTTCATTTCATTGGTCAACGAACGGTAATGATACAACATTTTGATAAACTCTGCCATGGATCATTTATTAATAAGCTCAAACTTGATGGACCAAAATTAAATTTTAGATTATTCAATCGAACCTTTATATCATGCAAATATTGCAGTTTTACCCTCTCGTTAAATTTTGTTACATTATATTCTAAAATTTAGAGTTTTTTTTTTTTTTTTTTTTAATTTATTTTCAATTTATTGCTATTTATCAACTTCCAATTTTTTCGTAAGATGGTTTGTCTGCTTGGGCCTACGGGGTTGGACAAGCCGAAGCCCAATCAGACCCAAAGCTCACGAAGGCGGCCAGAAGATCTTCCCTGTCTCGGCCCACAGAGTTGAGCCGAAGCCCACAATGTGCTCCTGTTTGGATTCCATCCCTTGTAGACGAAATTGAACCGCAAATAAATAATAATAATAATAAATAACAATAATAAGAACCCCTAAAACTAGTTGTGCCTCGCAGGCTCACTCTCGCAGTCATTCTCCCGCCAAAACCATTTCTTAGTTCTGCGATTCCCTTCTTCTGTTGCTCACTTTTCATCGACCATATTGTCATATTAATCCAAAAAGATATCGTAGTCTCCTTTCTGTTTGCTTGCCGACGGAACCAAGGAGACCACAACCAAATCTCTTCGCATCGTGCGTGAACTGAGAACCAAGCCAAGCTCGATTCCAGGTTGTTTTCCTTTTTGTCTTTACTTCCAATCGACGAACCTCGGCGCCGGTCGAACTCTTAAGCGTTGAATCGTCGTGTCACAGCGTTAATGGCGGAGCGGGATTCAGAACTTGTTTCTGCTATTAACGAACTCGACGATCGGTCATTCCTCTCGCTTTGCTTTGGTCCTTCAGTGTCCATCAGGATTTGGCTTCTAAAAAACGCCGAGAGGTTCCAAATAAGGCCATCGCTGTTACTTACTGTTTTCCTAGGGTTTACGAAGGATCCGTATCCATATGTTAGAAAAGCTGCTCTCGATGGACTAGCAGGTTTGGGGAATACTGTTGTCGAAGACGGCAGTATGATTGAATGTTGCTATTTCCGTGCTATTGAACTTCTAAACGACGTGGAGGATTGTGTTCGGTCAGCTGCAGTACGCGTAGTAAGATACTCGTTTTGCGATATATCTCCATTGTCTCTCTTCTTTTACAACATAAAAAATTTGATTAAGCAATTTCGGTTCGGTAGTATGTCACAGTTCCTTAACATTCATAGTCCATGATTTGATGTCGTAGTTCCTTAAGATTCATAGTCCATGATTTGATGTCGTAGTTCCTTAAGATTCATAGTCCGTGATTTGATGTCGTAGTTCCTTAAGATTCGTAGTCCATGATTTGATGTTGCAGTTCCTTAAGATTCGTAGTCCATGATTTGATGTCGCAGTTCCTTAAGATTCGTAGTCCATGATTTGATGTTGCAGTTCCTTAAGATTCGTAGTCCATGATTTGATGTTGCAGTTCCTTAAGATTCATAGTCCATGATTTGATGTCGCAGTTCCTTAAGATTCATAGTCCATGATTTGATGTTGCAGTTCCTTAAGATTCATAGTCCATGATTTGATGTCGCAGTTCCTTAAGATTCATAGTCCATGATTTGATGTCGCAGTTCCTTAAGATTCATAGTCCATGATTTGATGTCGCAGTTCCTTAAGATTCATAGTCCATGATTTGATGTCGCAGTTACTTAAGATTCATAGTCCATGATTTGATGGTGCAGTTCCCTAAGATCCATAAGCCATGATTTGATGACGATTTCTAATTAATAGACTTAGTTTTTTAATTACTGCGATCAAGCTACTCGCATTGGCAGAATATCACGTTCTTTATCAGTAAGAGCTTTTGACGATTGATCCAGGTCATCACTTGGGGTCTCATGCTTGCGGCTCATTGTCCAGAGAGGAAACAACATTTTTCTGATGAAATATTCGCTAACGTAAGTTTAAATTTAATATGCTGTTGATTTCTCTGGATTGGTGAAATTCATTCACTGAAAAACTTATCATCCTTTGTTTAGAGTGTTGTTCTTAACTAGAATTCGAGATATCAGTCTCATCTAGATTCCGGATACTAGTATTGTGGTGTGCATATTGAGCGAACCTATTTAGACCTAGTCCTGTGTTGCGTCTGGATAACATTTCTTCTGTTTGCTAGTGGTGGATTAATTTTGCCTTAGGTATTCAACTTCCTTGGTAGTATGCAACTTTAGATTCGCTTTCCATGTCCATCTTCTCAGCTCTCATGTTTAGTGTTTAAAACTTTCCACTTTGAATAGTGTTTGTA